TCTTGATGAAATCATTCCTCTCCGCCCGCCACACATTGTTTCTTTGTATCTGCAACAAAAATCTTTTCGTTGAAGTTAAAAGTCGTATTTGAAAATGATTTTCTCTTGCCTTGTCCTTATGAACATAGAATGTGAACATGTCTCTATTATTGGTAAACAAATCAGACCATTTTCTCGAGCGGTTACGATGATATTTATTGATAATAAAAATAGATTTTTATTAGCTATTGAGTTGATTTGTGTAAGTCCCATCGTAATAGATCTTACGAGAAAACATTTCCAGGTGTTGGAATACTTTTTAGTCGGAGTTTCGCGTATCTTGTAGCTCTTAGTAAACTATGTCTACCATAAAAACAAAGGTTTGGGTTTCCGGCGTCTTCCTGCCGAGATATCGAGTTTTTAGTGAATTTTCTCTATAGTGCCCCACTTTTGCAGCAAAGCTATATTCTTGAATTTTAACTTGAATCTTCGGCTACATTTGTATAAATAATTTCAGAACTTTTGAATAGAGTCTCTCCGAGATACGAAGCTTTCAAGAAAAATGCATACTATATATATTATTTCTGAAAAAGGATTTGTACCTTGATAGTTTCATGTCTCGAAGAGACTTTTTCCAAGAGTTCTGAAATTTTTTATGCAAGCTAGTCTAACTGAGACCTTTTGTCGTAGATAAAGTTTCAGATCAAAATTAAAAAACGTAGCTTTGCTGCAAAAGTGGAGCACTATAGATAAAATTTACTAAAAGCTCCATATCTCGGTAGGAACATGCCAGAAACCCGAACTTTTTTGATGGTAGGCATAGTTCAATAAGGGCTAGCAGATGCGTGAAACCCCTACTGAAAAGCGTTCCGACACCTGGGAATGTTTCCTCGTTTGTATCAGCTGTAAAAAATAGACGTATTCTATTGTTTATATAAAACTATATATATGTAACTGTTATTTATTTTTTGATTATTATTAAGTTTTTGTAAGTTTTATATACATATAGGATTTGCTAGATATATTTATGAAATTAACGAAGGCATCACTTTGATAAATTTATTTTTTCTAATTTCAGATGTAATACTATCAGAAAGTTGACTATCATGTAGAGTATTAATAATGATAAGTAATCTATCAAATGAAGTTAAAACGTTTTCGTCTTCGAAAACTATCGTATCGGCTGCACGTTCACGTTTAGTTCGTGGTATTCGAGAATTAAATTTATTTTCGGACAATCCGTTTTGGTCATCAACATTAACTCATGCTGAACAAATTCATAGTACTCGACTTTTTTTAATATTAACTTTAATATCTCTTTTAGCCGTTATTGGTTATGCTAGCGCATTTGTTCGCACATATGATGTAACTCTAAATGAATTTTCTATATCTGATTTCGAACAACTTGAAGCACGTTATCCAACGACATTTAAAGCTACATGCACTAAAGTATCAATACCTTATAGTAAATTTTTGGATTTATCTGTTACATTTCATCAAGTTTGTTCAAGTCCATTTATTGAAAGACAATGGATTTCATCTTTGTATCACTCCAATGCAACATCTCATAATATTTTAGATTTTCGTACATTCGCTTTTTCTCATTATCGTGCTCTTAGTTTACTATGTCGATTGGCACATCAAGCTTTTAATGATAATTATCATTCGTTTAATTCTACTAATTTAGTTGAGCTTCTAGCTTTTTCACGAGCTCAATTTAATGGTTTAGCTCGTGTTCTTGTTTCTAATTTTCAAAAAAATCTTTTAGCTAATGAAAAACGAACAGCAAAATTAATGTCATTAATGATTGCACAGAATCGATTACTCTCAGCTTTACGTACAAATTATTATACGTATTCTGTACCTGGCTCAAAATCATACAGAACATATAATGCACTTTATTTGGAACAAAATGCAACTGAGGACTCACCTTGCGATTGTAGATTAAGAAACAATCAATGCACATATCCAGCCGGTGCTTTTTATAATTGGACGTCACTAGAATTAGGAAAATCAGCTAAAAATAATCCACGACCACAATTTCAGGTAACCAAATTTTCTTTTTTATTATTTAAAAGAATTATCATGAGAAGGAGAAAAAATTTATTTAAAGTTTTGTAGAAATATGTTGATTTTCATGCAGAATAAAACAGCATCAAAATATCTGCCATAATGATAATATCTGTAAAACATCGTCAAACATTCTCCAATGATCTCCACTTACTTTTATATGGGCTTTATTCAAAAGTGTTTACACTAGGCTTCTTTATATCGATAGCATGTATTCAGATTTGTTCGGTGATATTACGTTTATATACTAAAATGTTATTTTAGTCCAATTGATTCGTTGAAAAAAAAATGATCTCAATATTGAATTTACTGAAAAAAGAAACAAAACATTCTTTCATATTTTTCGTTCATTTTTTTGATAGAAAAGTACTTTAAATGATATGATTTAATCGGTTTTAGCTGAACTTGTTGGAATATCGAGAAAAACCGATTTGGAAAGGTTTGACAATGAAGTACAATAGCTATGGTCATTCACTCCTGTTTGAAAATATGCCATTCTTATGATTAGAATACATCTTATGCGTTAAGCAATTAAGTAGTTAATTCGAATGGATGGTTGATTGCAGAAAACCCCATAATACGCCAATTCTTCAGAACACCCAAGTAGAGATGTATTGGGCTACCTTACTCTGTTTAGAATGTTAGGATAGGAAAATAATAAACATACTTCAGAGCAGTGTAGTGCTAAGGTCAGAA